TATACTCATGAATATCTTAAATTAAAAATAGCGTAGAGGGTGATAACTTCAAGATTGTCGCGGCTCTGTGCGTTTCCCACTACACAGAAAACGTGATAAGGAGGGTCGACTTCACTTCACGGGCATCACATGTAGCTGGAAAGAATGGTTTGGTCCTCAACCCTACCTGCAATACATATCAACAGTACACACGGTATGTGTATGAACAACAAAGGTATCAAAACATTTAAGTCGGAAATGACAGTCCAGATATACGTATGGAAAAGATATAAAACTCAGATATACGTATAGGACACCCCCGTGTATATACATCTAACGGCAGTGATACAAAAACTGCCAAGCAATGTAGTCGCGGACAGATGAAAAAGGTACACACTCCACTACGAGAGCACATACCTGCTGCATTTGGCATGGTATTCGCTCGCAGTATGTGCTAGGTAGACCAGCTAGACGTGTGAGTTGCTTGATCGATATAAGTTTTAGTAAAGTGAAGCTACTATTATATTCACCATCTGACGGAAGGTCCACTGATGAGGCTGTTACTAGCGTTGTAGCTAACGGACTGAGTGGATCGTTAACAGCGGGTGCATGTAATTCCAGTGGCACTAACGTGTGAACAATAACCAGTGTGTATAGATGAAGATGTTATACCAAAGATAATATATCTGCAGTGTTGGGTGCATGTGAATAAGGCGGACACACTCGACTGTGTTAGTTGCACTATCGTGTGCGTTGACTCATCAGCTGACTACATATAAGCGTTTTTAAAAGTACTTGGCCTAATGTCTTAGGTCTCTTGCTTCGGAGATGAAATCAAACTGGTATATTGTAATCAAAGTACAGTTGCACATCTCCCGCCAAAATAGATCAATCCGATTGATCATATGATAAGGTATGAGTCATATTACACAGGTCGGCTCCTGGACTCCTAGGCCACTTCATTTTATTCTCTCCTTGATTTCTCATTGTCTCAGACTCAGACTCTCAGTTCGGTTCCCGTTTAAACGCATTAAAATCAATCGATTTTGCGTTAAGTAAAACGTTAATGCTACACCCGCAACGTCGGTGTTTCAACTGTGCGTATTTCTCAAGCGTGAACCGTTTATCCTTTTTTACGTTAGAACGTACACACAAAATTCGATTATTTCTGTCCACGTTAAACGATTAATGGATGGGTGCAAACGAATTGACGTTAGCCTCAGACACCTCTATATGGTTATGTCTAAAAAGGATGTAGTTACACTGTTACAGTATATATTATACAAACCCGACACTCCGACAGTGTCATTACAGACGAGTATAGACGAGTTGTGGAGATCTGAACATGAAAGTCATCTGCACACCGCCTTTCTGGGTTCCCAGTCGAGTCACTGCGTTAATGTACAATCCTTTACGTGCCTGTGTCCCCGCATTCACTAGCGTGTGTACGGGTCAACGTACATTCAAGACACACACTCATGTATGTAGGGCTAAAGTTGAGCCGCACTCATTATCACAGTACTTAGCAAAAGCGCCAAGATCAACTGTGCAGACACCCTGTCACCAAACACTCGCGAAAGAAGTGCAAGATGAAGGTGCACAATCGGAGTACCTCAATCGCATACGACGGAAAGTTGACCCTGAACAAGACATTAAGTCACTCGAACTGGAGGTTTTGGAAGAAATAGCTCTGAGTCTGGGCAAGACAGCAGATAAGGCAAACTGGTCGTTTTATCAGCTAGAGGTAGCTCAGAAGAAAGTGCGAGACCACATACAGCTGTACGGACGCGATAAGAACGGGCCACGTGCCGCTGAGCGACTGGATCTGATTCGCAAGTATAATGAGGTGAGAGAAACGGCGTACGAGGAAAGGAGGAAGCTGGTAATACACAGACAAGCGTGCGGTTTCAGGACGGGCAATTGGCAGATGATTGAGAAGATGTACCCTTTGCCGCATAGAATTCTTGAGGAATAAATGGCAACGTTGATTGCAAGCTTCTGTGAGTTGTTTTTTAAAATTTATTTTAGCTGAAAGGTACTAGGTGAGTGTAGAGGTATGTCGAGATTTAGATGATGTATACAACTTGTATGTGTTGGATCGATACCGACGTGCTAGAACTCCTATGCTGCACTCAGTATGATATGCTGGTGTGAGAGGTTTGGTTGCTCGTTCTCTGTGCTATTCTCGGG